GGGAGAAACATCTCTCATATGTAAGGAGACCTAACGCTAAATTCAGAGGCAGTGATGGGTGAGGGGGCTGTACACTGAGTTTCCTTCCCAAACAAAAGACATTTGTATTAAAGACTTTTGGGATGTGTTGTTGGGCCAGAGTCCTTCATAGAGTCACCATTGCTTTGTGGTGGTTATCTGGGTTGTGCCATGGGACAGGGCAGGGACTGGGCCTCTGACACTTGCTTTGACCATGGACAAAAAAATAATCTCTTGATTTAGCTATCTGTGATTAATGCTTATTGCTAGTGGTCATTGTCAATGATTGAAGTGGTAGGGATGAATATTTCAAATAAAGTTGGCATCTATTGCACATCTCCTTTATCCATTTTGGAAGAAATTTTAGCTTTGGGTTGGATATGCAAATAGTGAATGTTAAATAGCAGGATTAGTAAGAAGCCAGAGGCTCAGCTGGGAAGAGGGAGAAGCAAAACAATGAGATTTGGCTGCTGTAGGTATTTTCAAGTGGGTCAGACTATGGTATCTGTAGCAAGACATTAGGCATACTGCCTATTGAATTAGGCCTGTGGGAAGGTCTGTTAGATTCCTGAGCAGAAAAAAAATGGGCAAGTGAAGATTCATAGTTCTGAAACGATTTTTGCACTATTTACTAGACAGCAGGGCAGTCAGGTATGGTGTCCTTTGGAGGTTTCAAAGGCACTGGTTGCATTCACAGCATATTGTAGAGGAAGAGTGCCAGTCCACTTAGCCCATCAAGCTTCTGGTTGCCTTTGTCTAGGGGCAATTCTTCAAACAGACTTGTTTCTCAGCAGCCTCATTCTCTAATCCTACCCCTTCCTCTTTTGACTGTGCTGGTTTCTAACCAATTAACCTACAGTCTTATTGTACAGATGTTGTTTTACCTTTTATGTCCCCTTAATCTGACTGCTCTTTGCTGTCTCATAATTCATTTTGCATGTCTCACATGGGCCATCACCCTGGATGGCTGGTTTCTATGAATCCCTCTGTTTTGTCACCTTAACCCTGTTTTCCTACAACTTGAAACATATCCAAACATTTTTATCTGAGCTATCTTCATTTCTAGTTCTGCAGGATTTATTGTTTTCTGGTACAGATTCTTTAAAAATATACAATTTAAAAAAATCTTCAGTAGGTGTTTGATTTTGGGGTGCTTGGTATTTCTCAAATGTACTTGGTTCCAGCTCACTTGTCTAATAAACATTGTATGATAGTAGTGGTCAAAGTCTGTAGTCCCTGCAATATAACACATTTTTCTTTTATCTCCTTCTGTCACTGTTGGATGGGAATTGATCTGTTTAAGTGTATGATATGGTCTCTTACTAATGGTTCACAAATCTCTGTCAAGTGAGTGCCCATATCACATAATAAAATTCATCTCCACTGTGGAAGCCTCCCAGGGGTCTGAGCAAAGCTGGTCACACTGCCTGCAATAAACTTTTTTTTACTTCTTAGATACTGGTTTATCTCAGAGTATCTTAGCTGGACCAAAAGACAGATATTTTTAAAGCTGTTTTTATATTTAAAAAAAAAGTTACCAGCATCTAGAATGGGTTTGCTGTGGTCTGTCAGTCTGAAATGATCTGTTCTGAGTCCCGAATGTCAAAATACATGATATTTTGAACTGACATTTTGGGGGCATTATTTCTTCATGGAAAGTTCAAGCACATCCAACTATCCATCTCTTTTTGGCATGCAGCCAAACCCATGAAATTTCAAACTGAGAAGAAAAACTTTGTATTTCTTGTTATTGTTGCTGTTGTTATTATCATCTTTTTCCTATTTAATTCTGGCTGTGTAATTTAGTTCTTAACATGTCCCAGGACCAGCACCATCAGTAGTCAGTAAAGATACAATTCTGTAAGTTATGGAAAAGGTGTGGATTTAGGATAAGTCTCATTGAAGCCTTGATGCTGTTGTCAACTCCACTTTTCATATCCCTACCAGCCCTTTTACTTTTTGTACTACATTTCCCCTTCTGCTCTCATCCTGACTGATCAGGACAACTTCAATGCAGCAAGACCCACTGTTCCACAGTAACTGTAAACCTATGGAAACAGCGTGAAGTGCCAAGGAGTACATGCTGGTGAGGAAGGGAGGTTTCTTGATAGAGTTAGACAGAGTAGATGTGCTTAGAACACTGTCTTGGCCAAATTCTGGCCCAACTGTATTTTTATGTGTTAATGTAGTGCCTGTAAAGTTTTACTCATGTGAAATGGAGGCTGAATTATTTTCAAAGAACTTTCAGCCTTCCAGCTCAAGAATGCTAGGATAGGCCAAAACTGGCCAAGATGTGTTGACTCTTTTTCTCTCTTTTTTTTCCATCCCGTTTTCATAACATTGTCTGGTGTTTGAATATATAACATATAAGGGACTTGATGATGTGCTATTCATTATCACCCTTCCTTCCTGTTTGCAAATGGTGCCATCACCATGGTCAGATCACTGCCTTTCCAACCTTTAACCCGGCACCACTGTATTCATCACTAAACCATGTCCCTGAGTACCACATCTACTCCTTTCTCTTAGTACTTCCACAGATGATGATTCTACCACATCCTGGGGCCTGTTCCAATGCATGATGACCCTTTCAACAAAGAAATTTTTCCTGATATCTAATCTAAACCTCCTTGGGTGCAACTTGAGGCCATTTCCTCTTGTCCTGTTACTTGCTACCTGGGAGAAGAGACCAATCCCCACCTCACTAAAATTGTTGTAGACTGTTGGCTTCAAAATCCCCTTCCTCCCTCTTTGTGTATGGCCAAGCCTTTCCTCTGTCACCTGCTTCTACATATTCTCTTCTTATATCTTTTCTACCCCTCTTCAAAATAAGGAGGAGGGATAGAAAACTTTCTTATTGCCTTTGCAGTTAAATATTACTCTTTCATCTTTTTTTTTTTCCTGTTCCCTGCTTTGACTTCTTCCACCATTGGCAAAAAAATGGCAATAAAGTTGCTGTAGTTTAAATTATTTCTTGCCTACGTAGTCCTTGCTCAATAGAGATTGTGCAGATTCTGTGTTAGTGTGAGGTGGCATTATTACTTCCCTGCCCTGTGGGCACACATCATATGGAGAAGAATTCCCAGTCATATAACAAATAGGTAGAAACTGTCACTGAAGGCCAGCATAAAATTTTGGCTATTTTTCTATAGAAAATTTGTGAAGACTTAGCTTTAGCTGCTCTAAAGAGAATTAATTCCTAATAAACTTTATCTCCAGCACTTCAATGACACTGCTCCAGCCAAGGTGTCAAACCCTCCATGAAATGGAGTGTATGTATACTCCCCTTTCAGCCCTAAAGCTTTCCAGCCAGGCTGGGAAATTCAGGGGGACTCTAGCTTCGTCTCACTGAATCTCAAAGCAGCTATATAGAAAATCCAATGTATGCCTTTCTTGCCCTAGGCTGGACTGTGATGGGTGCATACTGTCCAAGTACCTACGTGAGGGACCTTAAAGGGCTGCCCTGTAAAAGTTTAATGTCTTAAGTGATAGCATCAGAGTCCAAATATTGCAGAGTTTCTGGGCTCTGCACTGGGATTTGAAAGTGGGAATGCAGTGCTTGCAGTCCAGATAGAGACATAATAGCACTGATGCCTCAGCCCTTGCCACAGCAGCTCCTCTGATGCTGAGGCCCTCAGACTGCTCAGGTCAGTGACTTGTGTCCCTGGATGCTCTGTCTGAGCTCATGTGTGTGCGTGGGGAAGAACAAGTCTGCAGCTACTCTGCAGAGTCTGTGGAGCTGGCTTAAGGTGATGGGTTGGGATACGTGTGTGGAGGGGCCCTTCAAAATGCATTTGTGGGCAGTGAGATGATGCCTGGGCTGTGTGGGTCTCTCTCAGGCACTCACTGTTCTGTGGTGCCTCAATTCTTGCTTAAATGAAGGCAGTTGCTATATTTATGGCAGAAATTTGTGGCCACTGGGGATTTGTCTCCATGAGCAAAGGCTCAATTAACAACTGGCTTCTTCTACAGGACTATGAATTACTGCTTTCCTGGTCCCTAGAGTTTTACTCCAGGTTCTTTAATGCATTGAAATTGGTATTTGCCCTGTGTAACTTTATGCTCAGAGACCTGTTACCTCCATCTGTAACTCTGCTGGTTAATGGAGTGAAGCAGGCGCTAAACAATGAGAGACCTTCCCACTCGCACACCTCTCCATTAGCTTTGTCTCAGGCCTATGGCCTCACTTACATCCCTGCTATAGCTGTCAAAATGACCAGCCCTTTTCCACCCCAAATCTAGCCAGCTGAGTAAGGCATGACCCATTAGCCTCACATCCACACACTGTACCTGTTCCCCAAATCCTCTTGCCCCAGGGACTACACTCAGGCAAACATCTAAGCTCATTTAATTGGAAATGGGACTTCTGCCAATCCCCTTGGAGCTGGGGATCAGCAGGACTTTTCCCCGTTTAGCAGACACAGTCCCAGAATAGTGTTTTCCTTCTCATTTGGTGTATCTAAAATAGGATGATGTGGTGTCCATTGAGAAAAGAGGCTCTGGGTGTGCTGCCTGTGAGATTTCATTCTAAGCTGATAAGCATAGTCATCTACAGCAAATGCCAGTGCTGTTAAAGAAGGATTATATACAGATGAAGAGTTAATAGGTTAGGAAATATTTGCCTAATATTTTACTGGAGATGTATTGCCAGTAATGAGCAACTGACTCCCAGCAAATCACATGTAGGCAAGCAGAGTACAGCCAATAAATACACCATCAGGAGAGGAAAAACGGTGCTTTGGTGACGCCTGCATCCTACAATTCCTGTCCAGAAACATTATTTCAGATGACAGGAGTTTAAGACAAGCATTTGGCCTCAGACCCTTCAGATTTGTTCTGTGAATCATCAGGCTGACAGTGTTCAAAATACTGTTAAAAAATAGAGAAGGAAATGGGTGCTTGACATAGGTTTGACCCTTGCTTAAAAAGTACTTAAATATGGTGATGACTGGTACAATTTTGCTCTACGCTTTTATTTGAAGGTCATGAACAGCCCCTGATCAGCTTTAACTGCAGATGGCATAGTGGAAACATCCTTTCTTGGGAAAAAGAAAGAAGCAAGAAGACCTTAGAGAAAATGTTTCCTTGGAGTCCAGTATGAGTTTTGCGCAGAACAGTCTTCTGGAGCAGGTAAGTCAGGCAGAGGTCAAACAGAGTTTGGTGGTGCCACCGAGTTTCTGCTTCAGACTGGGACTTCATATGAGCTGTTAGGGATGGATTTTACTCCAGATTCCCAGCATTTTTACTTCTCTTACATATTTAAAGCCCATCCCAGAGTTTTGCAGCTTAAAGACATCTTCAAACTACCATTTATAGGTGATGCCTATTGCATTCTTTCATTCTACTGCAAGGCAAAGTCTTTGGCAGTGTCAGTGAGTCCCTGGTGGAAGGGAAGCCAGAAGAGGCTACAGTGAAAGCTCTTTGTCCTTATATTCCAGAGCAAGCCCTCAGGCTAGTTGCTTGCCCTGAGACATTAGTTAATCAGGTGGTATGGTGTAGGGGCCAGCTGTGTATTGGCCTTCTACGGATGCTGTAACAACCCTATCACCGTTATAATATGTTAGACCTAATTAATTTTCCCTGGTTGCCACCACTTGGTTCTGCTTATATCAAGTACTAATGAGTAGTTGACAGTAGTTAATGAGCTTCTGCAGCAAGCAATTCAATTTTTTCACTGACTAAAATTACTTATTTCTTCTGGGCACCATGCTCCCCTTCTCTCAGATGTTTGGCACCATCAGATTGCCATTGGGTCATGCAGAATCCATCTCCACTGCTAAGAGACTGCAGCTGTAGGTGCGGTCCAGCTGCCCTCCTCCACTGAGCAGGGGAGCTGGGCTTTTGTCCACAGCTTTCCACACTAGTCTGCAGACCAGTTCAGCTCTTTTCCTGGTGACATGCCCAGCCAGCCAACCCAAGCAATCCATGCTCTGTAGCCATGGTGTCAAAGCCCAGTGATGGGCTTTGTAATGGTGCTTTTGGTGAGTCCTGCTCTGGTAAGGCTACTATGGTACATCTTCCTCAGTTGTCCAAGATCATAGAATCATGGAATGGTTTGGAATGGAAGGGACTTTAAGATCATCTAGCTTCAATCCCACTGCTATTGGTAGAGACACCTTCTACTAGACCAGGTTGTTCAGAGCTCTATACAACCTGGCCTTGAATGCTTCCACGGATGGAAGTTTTGATAATAAAGGTTTCAGTATGGATTGCTCACAGGGAAGAGCATCTTCTCTGTGCCCAGATATTTAGGAACTGTATCAATATTTTCCTGCTTTCCCACAGGTGCTTTAGGTGTCATTGCCTTGCTTTGTACCATCTATAAAGTACTCTAATTATAGTGAAATGAACAACTTGCTTATGCCAGATAGACACCTAAATTCTTCTGAAAATCATGGTGAAATGACTTCCTTAAGATGGATTTGGCACTTGGAGGTATCTGTAGAGCAGAAGTACTGCTCACCTACCTTGTAGCTTTGGTCCCAAACAATTTTCCAAACTGGGAGATAATGTCTTTCAAACCACAGTTTGAATGGACAACTAAGTCCAGATACTTGGCTGTCTGTGTGAAGGAACGATTAAAATACAGAGAGAAGCACAAATGAGAAAATGTGACCATTAGGGACATACTCTATGCCTTGCCAAGGCAAAAGGCTGGCAAAGTTTGCCATCACTGCCTGAACTGATCATCACAGCATGTCTAGCTTCCTACAATTTTGAGGAGTTTCTGTCTCACTTTATAAAGATTGTTTTCTAAGTTTCTCTTGCTTCTGCAGAATATAGTCTGGGGAACTGGCTCAGGTTGACCTAAACAGAGGATGAAGAAGAAAGTACTTTAATAAGAGACCCTGCTAAATGTCAATTGTTTGGATTATCTCCCTCTTTTGAATCTACCGGAGACATCTAAAGCATCACAATGAATGTTTAGATGATTAACCATCCTTGTGATTGCACATGTAAAACCCTGTGTCAAGAGTTTTTTCCCTATAGTCTCAGTTGTGGCTCCCAGAGCCATATGGGGGCTCTGTGGTCCTCTGCGTACTGTAGATAGTACTGTCTGTGTCAAAAGCAGTGTTCCCATCATGTTACTGCCTCTGCTGGGGACTGACAATGTTCACATGGCCTCCCTGGAGCCCACAAACCATCTGCAAAGATATTCCTGGAATGGCCAAACCCCAAGGTTCTTGAGCTGTTGGGATCCCATAGCACAAGTGAGTTTATGCTCCACTAAACTGCTCACAAGCAGCTATAATGTAATTATTACAGTCCTTTTCCCCATAGCTGTGCAGTGATGTCATAAACATGTAATGATTATTTAATTATAAAAAATATTCTGGTAATTATTCACCAAGATGCTGATGATACTGAATTCACAGCAGAGCTGTGGTAAGGAGAAAGGGCTTGTACTTCAGGATTCAGGATGAATCTTCTTGGTGGCAACTTTCATATCAGTGTGAAGTGAAAAAAGAAATAAAAAAGAGCAAGAAGGAAAAAGGTGTCTTAGTCATTTTTCAAACCATCCTCCTAATCCCAGACTTGTGTCTGTCTTGTGTGATAGATATGATAATTTCTCAAGTACAAAAGCATTGTATTTCTCTTTTACTATTCTGCTCCAAGGAAGAAAGACAAATTATGCCTTGTGAAGAAGCCATTTGCTATAAAGTGTAAAAATGCTTTAATATTAATATTTTATAATAAAATTCATGACATATTTATAAACACTCTATCAAGCATTTACAACTGAACCACAGCTGAGAGCTTGGACCGGAATAAATAAGCAAGGACACAGCTAGTATGAAATATACAGCTTAATTTTTATAATTGTGTGTGCTTTATTCTTTACACAAATGAAATGGATGCGCAGAGTATTTACACATAACAGGAGTGTAAGCTGGACAGGGTGTTTTGTAAACTCCAGTTCAGATTCTGAGTACCCCACACTACAGCTGGATTGAGAAACATCCTGCTAAAGAGACACGCGCCGGACATTGTGCTGGAGGGAGCAGCTTGGTGCATACAGGCTGCTGCACTCAGAAATTCAAACTGGCCAATTCAAATGTAGGAGCACAAGTCCAGAAATTAAAAGGCTGCTATCCCACTAAGAGCCAACAGTGTTGTCATTATTTTCCCCCTTTTTTAATGCTTTTTTCCCCCCCACCAAAGATCTTGCTTAGGATGCTGGCTCCCATCAGGGCTGTTTTACATCAGGGCAAGTTGCCTGTGCTGTAGGGCCAGAAGGTGTAAGCTGCTAATGTAGTGTGAGAGATGATGGATCACCTCTCCTGCTTTTCACCTTAAAGACAGTCTCAAAAATGGCAAATGAAGTGGTAGTTCCTATAGTTCTTGGTGACATGTCAGTGCAGCTGAAGCCTTCTGCAAATTCATTTGGCCCTTGGGGTGTCTTTTTGTTACCAATTTCACAGCACTGGCCTCAAAAAAATCTTGGTCCACGACTTGGTCCTCTGGGTGTTACAGTAAAATAAGCAGTAAATAGTGATGGAAAGTGCTGAGCCGCACTTAGTGTTTAATCAGGTGGCCTTGGTGTTTTACAGAGATGCAAAAAATATCAGTGTGATGAGGAGGATGGATGTTTAACTTCAGGTGGTAAAAATGGGATGGACTCCATTGAAATCAGAGGAGTGACTGTGATTTCCACTGGCTGAGGATCTAGGCTACCTATATGCTGGAGAGATTTTAGATGTTATCTGTTGTTAGCTTTGATGCTGATTTGTGTCCTAGAATGGAAACTTTCTTTTTTTAGCATAATGACCTTATTCTTATTTCTGAACCAACTGAAAAAATGTTTGAATTTTAATGGAAAATAATGGTTTATTCCACCAAGGAATGGGCTTGAGCACTTGCATGCAGTTGTACAGTGAACCACATGCATAACATGACAGGCAAAATGTGCAAGAGGGAAAATATTGAGATTAAAAGCTGTGAAGGATAAAAGACCACTTTCTGTGAACATAGCAGATATTTATGGCTTTAAATCTGCATCTTAAAAATGAGGTTGATACATTTTCCTCAACATGTTTTTTCCTACAAATATCCTATTGTGTTCTCACTTGCTGAATCCTCTGGTCAGGGATGCAATTTGAACAACAAAAATTAAGATACAAGAAAACCAAAACAAAAATACAGTTTGACTGGGTGCTGATGAGCGAGTAACAGCGAAGTTGTAATGCCAACAATTTCTCCATAAAAACTAATGTAAATAGGTAGGTGGATGTTGCATACCTAGGACACTGTCGCTGGCTCATAGTGGTTATTAGCTCAGGTACCACACTGCTCTCCAGGATGAGGATTTGTAATTTCAGTGCAATGGAGAGATTTCTTATCCTTGACCTTCACTGAGTGGTTCCTAGGACCCTATCCACACCGGAGCATCAAACCATGCTAGCTACAAACACAATTACATCACAGAATATTGATCTAGAAACAGCCTTTACTACCAAAGAAAATACAAAGCGCTAGCATGGACAGGGTACCTCTGTAGGAAGGGGGATTAAGCAAGAAAGAGGCTCTTTCACTGGTTGATGGTCTGACTGTAAGACCAGTGAAGAAGTGCCATTCCACTGAGCCCTGTTAGCAAGCTCTCAATGAGTCAGTGCATGGAAGATTTTTTTATTTTTTTGTTTGTGGCAAGGAAAAATAATTAAGTTGTAATATTGCACATCTGCACAAAGCTAGCAAGATGTCATTGTGATCATTCATGGGTGGACAAAAAGCTGTGATAATTTTGATTCTGCTTAGACCCTACGGTGCTACACACTGTGCCAGAACATGAGATATAGCACCAGGGGTGTGATCTGGCACTTTTCCTAAAGGGTCCAGCATTTGCATTGGTCTCATGGTTAGATGCTCCCAAGTCCTTTACATGGGCAGAAAAGGAATCTGATTATGCTGAGCTGTGTTAGCACCAATATGGAGTCAGGTGCCAATTGCTGTGGGTTGTGAGTTTGGACTTTTTCACCAGATGTAATTTTACATGAGTCTTATGCTTTTCTTCCTCCTCCCACTACCACCCAGTATGATCTGAACAGCTGCAATGCAAAAATGAACTGCAGCTCTGAGGATGCTGCAACATGGAACGCAAAACATCAACACACAAAACAAATGGGAGTACAAGTCCTAAGGGAAATAAGACCTCTCACTGATTCTCTTGACGATTTATTTTTAAATACATGTTTTATTTAAAAAAAAAAGAAAAAAAAAAAAAAAGAAGTGCAATGTCAACTCTAAAATGGAAGCACAAACAACAGACAGGGAAAAATAAATAATGTTACTACAGTAACCAAGGACTGATG